CAAGCCTTCGCTTCGCTTAGGGAACTGTAATTTATTATTGATAACAGTATTTCTCCACTATTTAATGGATGATATTATACATAAAAAGCTTCCTCTTCAATCACTCTTTAAAAAAACCGCATCAAAATCCGTTGCGTAGTTTTAAAGATTTAAGCATACCTACATAGGGATACAGGGACAGAGAAAGCGACTTTGTTTTATACTATGTAGTGATTTATTTATACTATTAGTGATTTATAATGAGACATTATAATATATAATAGTTAAATGAAGGCGCTATGCTTTATGAAGCTCTTAGAATATTCAGTTGTAGTTTATAAAAACTTATTCAGTATCTTTACTCGCCTCGTCGCCATCCCCGGATTCGATTGTTACAATATAATGCCTGCTTTATATGCCGTTTGCACGATTCTGCTTTGCACCAGTTGTCGCAGCGGAGAAAGCCCACCAGAACCTCTTGGACGGAGTTGAACACTTCGACAAGACTCAGATGAAGCACACGACGACGGAAGAAAAGAATCCACTGCCCCCGATCGAAGGTTCCTTCTTTTATGCTACCGCTTTTGAGCGTTTTAGTTTTTGCACTTTTATAGTCTTTTATAGCTTTTTGTAAAATGGCATGTTTTAGCTTAACCGTTGCCTTAAGATGATAATAATGAAATCGAGATAATATTCACAGAATCTGTGTCGTTCAGACTGTTTCCTTCAAAATAGGAACGTTGTAACATTTTGTTAAGAAAAGACATTGAAAAAAGTTTTTTCAATCTGTTAATTCATTTGAATTATTCAAACTAGATTACAACCGACTTTCTGTCACGAAGTAATATCGCGTTCCGCTTTGGAGGTTGACACGACGGTTGTACAACACAATTGAGACTTGACCTCATGTCTCAAGGAGGATAGAGGATTGAAAAAAAGTCAGATCCAATTAAGTACACACCCGATAAAAAACGTTTGCATCCAATCCTATATGTCTGGATCTAGTTATATCTGCTTATATCCAGATACATCCAAATTACTGATCTTCTTGATTCTTAACATGCACGGGCTGGTACCACTCTCCTAATTACTTTACTCAACTAGGTTGCGTTGGTCCAGTTTGAAATGTTTTGGTTAATCGCGATCATGGACGATGAATCTGAACCGTGCGTAACGCACAGGGCAGAGGTAACAACTTGGGTATTTCGTAAAACAAAATCGTTAATAATTGCTTTCGTCGCAGCTATCGAAGCGGAGAAGGAAAAGAACAAATTCCTGAACGGCATCGAGAACTTCGATCCCACTAAGCTGAAGCACACGGAAACGTGCGAGAAGAACCCGCTCCCCACAAAGGACGTCATTGAGCAAGAGAAATCAGCTTGAACCACTACTTTATAACAGTTACTCGCAAATGTATCTCGCTAGTATCGCCGTATTTTAATATTGATGTAAGTCAGATCGATTTGCGTCGTCCATTACAAGTTTTATTTTTGTTTTTGTACAATGGCAACACTGCCTGGGCAATGGCGGCGTACAGCAACCCCGGATTTTATTCAAATCCTAACGATAAGTCACGCCTTACGCCAATAAACAGCGAGTGGACGCCATAAACCGATCGAATACAGATAATTAGTGTATAGTAACCAAATTTTCTATGTCACTTTTTAAACGTGTATTTTATAAGTATTTTACGAAAATATTTTACTTTTTAATTTTGATTAATATAATTTATGTGAAGGAAAAAAGAATTGATTTTTTTCTAAAGTACTGATCTTCAAATATAAGTCTTTACTTAACCTGTACTCTGAAGTGAGAAAGAACAGACGTGATCGAAGCAACCAGACAAACCGTGGAATGTGCTAGAACTAAAACTCGATTAAACTTGAGTATTATTAAAGATCACGTCCGTACTATTGAACAATAAGTCCGTGGTACCGGGTGTGTAATCTGAATCTAAGCGAGCGACTGATATTTTACTCAAAATAAGATGTGGGTACCGAAATATTCATTACACTACTAAATATGCTTTTTATAAATTTTCATTAGTAATTTACATCATCATTTCTTAGAACTGGAAATCATACGTTCAATACGAAAATGACTGCAAAATAAATAAAAACAGAAACGCGAAAAAAACAGTAGATAAAGAGGCACAAATATTTTGTCATAATACAAATATGGCGGTCAAATATGACAATAATAATCTACAGATGCTGGATAAAGATAGCTGTCAAGTCTTTTTGCCATCTTAACACCTTTTTCATGAGATGAGTCATTTTCGTAACAAAGTCTTGTTAAATTAGTCATCAACTGTGTGGTTAAAACAAATGCTCAACCAACGAATATCTGACTAAGATACAATAAAACGTATTGGTATGTAAGACTATACTAAATATAAATACTTTTTAAGACCTCCACAAAATAACAGTTTTCCATTTTTATAAGTACGTATTTTATTAATTATACTATTATGCTGAGAATGCCAATTATAACATTTTTAACAGGTTTTTGTATGATTTACAGACTGCTTTTATATAAATGAAATATATATAAAAAAAGACTTTTATTTTGAAACTCATTTTACATTTAGAAATTACAGCTGACGCTTTATGATACTGAATAGGTATACAATACAATATTTCAATACAATACAATATTTCAATACAATACAATATTTCAATACAATACAATATTGGTGGTCGGGCGTCTTCAAGCCCGTGCTGCGAGTACCACCACTCGCCTTATTGCTTAGAGGGGTGGACGAGCTCACAGCCCACCTGGTGTTAGGTGGTTACTGGAGCCCATAGACATCTACAACGTAAATGCGACACCCATCTTAAGATATAAGTTCTAAGATCTTAGTATAGTTACAACGGCTGCCCCACCCTTCAAACCGAAACGCATTACTGCTTCACGACAGAAATAGGCAGGGCGGTAGTGCCTACCGTCGTGGCCTAAAAGATAAGACGTCCGGAGCGTTCGTGTTGAAGCGATGCACCGGTGCTCGAATCCCGCAGGCGGGTACCAATTTTTCTAATGAAATACGTACTCAACAAAGGTTTACGATTGACTTCCACGGTGAAGGAATAACATCGTGTAATAAAAGTGAAACCCGCAAAATTATAATTTGCGTAATTACTGGTGGTAGGACCTGTTGTGAGTCCGCGCGGGTAGGTACCACCGCCCTGCCTATTTCTGCCGTGAAGCAGTAATGCGTTTCGGTTTGAAGGGTGGGGCAGCCGTTGTAACTATACTGAGACCTTACAACTTATATCTCAAGGTGGGTGGCGCATTTACGTTGTAGATGTCTATGGGCTCCAGTAACCACTTAACACCAGGTGGGCTGTGAGCTCGACCAACCATCTAAGCAATAAAAAAAAAAAAAAAAAAACCCGCGTGGACTCACAAGAGGTCCTACCACCAGTAATAAACATGAAACAGTAATGGTCCTGTTTGAAGGCTTAGAATTACTATTATTCGATATAGCTGGGATTTAGACTTCATGTGCCGAAAGTGGGTGGCTGCATTCACATTGATGATATATATGGGCTGCGATAAACATTTATCGTCAGGCGGGTCGTCAACTTATAACAGTTACAACATCTACGAGAAGAAGAAGAATTTGCACTTATTCCTTGGTTATTTGTCTGACGACACTCTGAGAGACATAAGATAAGGAGGGTAGAGGTAAGGAGTACCACTTTGTATAGGGGACAAGTTGAAAATTTGTTCACCTGTAAACAATAAATTATTGTTGGAAGACTCACCGAAATAGCGCTAGTATAGGATGTGGAAATGATATGTGTAGGAGTTTTAAAAAAAATGTAGAGTGCTGGATTGAAGTGAACTGTGGTAGTTTATGGCGCTGTTTTTGAAATATTTCCACTTGCTGCTATGGCGCCACTTTAATTTGCTTCATTTCAGTGGACACTTTTTAATACATTGAGATGGCACTTCTTACTTCTATCCTCCATAGCATAAGTTAACGCGCAGAAAGTTCAGAATATAAAAACTAAACAAAAAAGGCACAGATTTCTTATTTTATTCAGAGACACTCGAAGCGCCACGGGCCCCTATAATGTACCGTTGTAACTTCTGTACATAAATAACTATATTCCCCAAAGGTAATGTAACACACTATGGAAGTATACATTAACTATATGTACAAATGAAATGAGAAAGATAGGCCGTTAAGCGCATCGCACAAAAATTTACTAATTGTTTTCTTATTTAAGATTCACAAAAAATTGTCATGCACCTACGACATGCAATTTTCTTGAAGTATGTGCTGGATTATTATTATATGTTATAATTCCTGTAACTACAGACAGAGCCAGGGCCAGATTTAGAGGTGTGGAGGCCTCGGGGCAACAGAGCAGTGGAAGACGTTCCTGGACGCCATCAAACCAATAAAATGATAATCTCACGACAATAACGACACTAGAATAAGTTTGAAAAGCTTGTTTTCAAGACATAGCATAAAATATAATAATGATAGGTAGCAAAAATGACAATGTGTTTGAAGTATATTTCAAATAATGGAATATGGAAAAGAAGGTTACAACAGTGTGCCTTCCCGTTTATGCTTTTTTGGATTTTTTTAGATACTTACATGAGTTCGATGCAAATAATAAACAAACACTACGACTCGGTGCTCATCACTAGTTTTATACCTACATTCACATTCCATTAGCATGAACATCAAATTGGTTGGCTAATAGGCCCGGTGCCAAAGTCCCAATTAAAAAGAAACTTGAAACTTGAACATAGCTTTGCAAAAATTTGCATAGCTGTCTCTTTCATAATTTTAATTTTGCTTCCCGCCCGCCGGCTTGACGGTTTGCTTTTGGCACGTGCAATTTATTAGTTTTACAAAAAAAGAAAACTTTCAATTTCCAAAACAGTTGAATACTGATGGTGGCAGTGGGATAAATTGTTCCGGTGAGTGTTTTGACGATTTTTGATACACTAATACCATAAAATAACGTTTCGCACGTNGCCTGTCTCTTTCATAATTTTAATTTTGCTTCCCGCCCGCCGGCTTGACGGTTTGCTTTTGGCACGTGCAATTTATTAGTTTTACAAAAAAAGAAAACTTTCAATTTCCAAAACAGTTGAATACTGATGGTGGCAGTGGGATAAATTGTTCCGGTGAGTGTTTTGACGATTTTTGATACACTAATACCATAAAATAACGTTTCGCACGTGTTGTTTTGCTGATGCAGCCAAACAACCATTTGCATCCGCCAAGCGTTTTGTAGCTATGATATGGATTTATGAAAATTATGTTTACGGTTAGTTAAATAACTTTGTGGTGTTTTCCGTCAAGAAACCAGTCAAAAACTTCTTCGGTCATGTTATTGACCGTAGGGCCGCGTCATTTGTTTTTGTTTACCAGCAGATTAACCGTGCGTGATGTCGTCTCCAATTCGTTGTCGCGGCTCATGGAAAATACAAAAACGAGCGTCTGATCCAGACAGATGGCTTGACGAGATGGGCTTCTTTCGTAAACACACCGCTAGGGACTCGAGTTGCCTTTTCAGAGCGGTGTCTGAGAGCGTGTATAACAGCCAGCGATACTTTCACAAGGTTCGACTGGAATGCGTGCGTTTCATGGCTGCTAATAGACACCTCATCGAAGGGGTAGGACGCTCTTCAGTTGTTTTGTATCATACTTTCATATTCCCCAAAGAAACTTTATTAATATTTGTTATAGTCGTTGAATTGCCCATTTGAGACTTATTTGAAAGAGATGTCGAACCCGTCGGAGTCTGGAGGTCTCATTGAGATCTCGGCCATGAGCCACTTGTATAGGTAAGAACTGTTTTGTGGTTTCTTTGGCTATATATTTTAAACTACCCACTACAACAATTTTTATTGCAAATTCCAGACGCGACTTTGTAATATTTGAGGCTAATAAAGGTCCACAAATAAAAATAACTAATGGCTACAATAAAACAATTTATTTGTATTACTCAATTGAAATGAAACATTTTGATGTGATTTATACCAAAGATTTCATTAACAATTCTTCATTTTGTCAATGTAAGTTTAGTTTTATTTCCATAGCTATCTTGTTTAGAATTTAATTATAATACTTTTGCTTCAATAAACTTAAACAACAGAAACAAATATATTTAAAATGTACATTAATATAACAGTAAATTGAAACTACTTGATGAACTTCCAGCATTAGTATATGAAATTCTATATAGTGGTGTATACCAGCTGCAAGATCTAGCTTATGCAGTCGACAAAATGCTCCATGACAAAACCCCGATGAACCACATTGAGTATTTCATGTCGGAGAATGTAGAACGCAGACGTAAGCAAAAAGAGAGGGCTAAAATTTATATTGAAGCCGATGTCGATGAGAAAGATAATAACAACAACACTCTCTCATTAAAATGCAAGCATCATACAAAGGATGCAGAACAAGCAGGTTTATTAAAGGATTCACTAAGCATATTTGTTTTTAATCGAAGTCTCATACAGTTGGAGAATGTTTGCCTAAACTGTTTGAACATAAATAGTGCTAAAGATCTCTTTGACAATGGAATAACACCCTTTCCTTACAAAGTTGCCAAGGCATTAGATCCTGATATCTATAGGAATATTGAGTTTGATGTTTGGAGCGAGATGAGAAGAGGTACCTTAATATTTCATATATCACTTATATTGTATATATACTAATCAATCAGATTTTTTTTAAACCAAATCGCAATTCGACTTTTCACTATCTTGAAAATCTNTCTCTTTGACAATGGAATAACACCCTTTCCTTACAAAGTTGCCAAGGCATTAGATCCTGATATCTATAGGAATATTGAGTTTGATGTTTGGAGCGAGATGAGAAGAGGTACCTTAATATTTCATATATCACTTATATTGTATATATACTAATCAATCAGATTTTTTTTAAACCAAATCGCAATTCGACTTTTCACTATCTTGAAAATCTATTGGATAATAATTTACAATTCATGTTTTTGAAAACAGTTGAGAATAAGTTTGAGAATAATGCATATTACATAAAAAAAATTTTTTTTTTTATTATTGCAATCTGCCGATTTACGTAATTAAACATTGCCACAAAAGAAAGCTAATCTCAAATTTAAATGAGTAATAATATTTCATATAAAATAAATACATAAACACAACCTTATTTTGCTCCACCTCAAATTTTATAACATGGATTCCAGAGTTACGTTATGGTCCTAGATATTCTGATGGAACAACTCTACAAGTTGGAGTTAAGTGCTTATGTAAATTGGAATCCGAACAGCCTGTTCCCTTCCACTGTCACATCCAAGAAATGAGACCTGATGGTGGCCCGTGCCTTGTCTTCATTGAAGAATTGGGGGAAAAGAGACTAGTAAATTATGAGCAACTAGAGCCCCTGCCTTTGGAGCAAGTTAGACCATGGGCTCCTCCATACAGATATTGCCGGGCCAACTCTCAATTGATGAACATAAGCCAAATGTTGCAGCAAATAGGTCTGAATTGAAGTATTTTATAACCCAACAGTATTTTTATATAATATGGATGCATTATGAGCAGATTATATTATATTTAATGGAACTTCTACATCTTTTGTTAAATAATAATAAGCATTGTTTGAGATTTGCTGTAGGAAAAGTTTTATTTTGATTGAATCTCAAAACACCAGTTTTGCCAATAATAAATATAGGAATTAAAACTACATACTTTTACAGTTAAATATCACGTTTTACTGTCTTTTTACCACAACCTCACTTCCAAATCCTTGTAATTACAGACTGGTCAAGATGAATGTAATAAAAACTAATTAATGAATTTAATTAGATTTAACTATAAAAGTAGACTTAATTACGTTTGCGTTGCTGTTGAATTTTACAATATTAAAAACCAAAAATTAAATAACTTAAATGCAATGTGGAAAAGTGTTTTAAATTATAAATGGTTAATATAGTCCAATGATAATTCAGGCAACATGAAACGAAAAAATGGCATCGGTAAGCCAAGGAAGTCTAAAGATGATGTCAAAAGCCCTGATAAAGGTTCCAAATCTCCCAAAATCTGGACTGTGACAGAGGAAACGGACATTACTGAATATCTGAAAACAAGCCATACTCCATATATGGATTATTACAGTGTTCAACCTATACCTGTTAGTTTTAGAGATTTTAAGGTAAAAGTTTATAAGCATTTCACTCTTAATATTGCAAAGTTATGAAAGAACAGAATATACTTCTCAACCTAATGTGTTACAGCTAGCTGTGTGGTAGTTTGTGTTATTGCCTAGCATAGGAGTGAAATTTTTCTTCATTAACTTCTTATATAAAAAAAGAACTGATATTATATATAAAAAGATAATACTTTACCAAATAGATTCACAGACCTGTTGTCTGCCTTTACTTCACAATGCTGCAAATAGCACATTGATTGATGTTTTCCACAATTCTCTTTCGAAGGCTCTCTTACATTAGCTCTTAGTTTTATTGAGTTTGCTTAGAAAGATATCTTCACAATCTTCACAATCATGGTTGTTTGTGATTTTTTTTTCAATTTGAATTCATGTAGCAGATGACTAATATAATTTGAATCTAAGTATTCAATAGAATCTGGCTGGTTCAGATCCAATTGTTTGTCAGAGGAGGTACTTGAGCCCTTACATTAGCACATTGGCAATAATAAAAAAGAACAAATTGTATAAGCTCTAATCTAGAAGTTGGTTGGTTATTGTGGAAATGAGATATAACAAGAACATGCACACACTTTGAATACCAAATATTTTAAAGATACTGATTCTGAACAAATCCAGTGGTGCAGTTATCAAGGCCACTAACCATCAGACAACCCCAATGAGGCATCATCAAAATCAATATCGATTGATCAAAAGCAACATGAACGGAAAACATTATTGGTTATAATTAAATATTTATAAATAATAAACGTTCAAGAGGTTTGAAATTTCGCAAACACATTATCTAACGCGAAGGTTGTTTTTTCGGTCACCTCAGGTCGTTGACCCTGCGCTAGCTAATTCTAAATTGTGTTCATTGCGTGCAATGCGAAAAGCGTTATATTATTATCTTCCTAAAAACTGATTATTACCCTACCTCCCTTTTTGGTCCTCACTAATGGTCGGAACCAAAGAGTTCCCACGTTTATTTGTAACACAAGTTTAAGCTAATGCAAGGTAGTATTTTATCGCTTCACTTCATACGCTAATTACGAATAATTGATATTATATTCTATACACAAGTTTACAGAATAATGTTCTGATGTGTTAATGCTTGTAAACATTACTTTTTCATACAACCATATCGTAGCTATATATAAATAGAGGTATTTTTACTATAGTTTTAGTGTTGGTTGATAATAATTAATAGCAGAGTTTTAATTATTCTTTAAGCTCTTTGTTTATCAAATTTTTGTAATAATTTAATGAAACATGATTCGTTTTGAGCAAAGTTTTTTCAACTTTACTGGAGATTTATAAAAAAAAAACATGCAAAAAGGAAATCATTCATTTCCATATTTAAAGTTGCCTTTTATTTAAAGAACTCCATCAAAACTAGTATACACGTCTGCTCAGCGTGAATGACTAGAAATTTGATAAAGTTTTGCTTAAAACATCCAGCGGCATTATTTCTCAATTTTATGTCATCTTATTTTGGAATACAACTTAATATGTTATAGTTAATGTCCCAAGAAACTCTGAAATTAATTTTTAGTCAAATCAGTGTTAGTATTTAATTTTAATCTAGCAATAATGTAAGTAGTAATGGTACATTGAAGCACATTACAAGTCATAAAAATATTTTGTTTGCGTGAAAACGGACTTAAATAAGGATATATTATAGTGCCGTTCGATCATTTCACGTCGATTCGTCTTGTCACGTTCTGCTTCTAAAACGCGTTTCAATACATCCCTAAAACTCATTTTAAACTGCCGCGACCACTGTTGTAGAAGAGCCATGATGTAGGTTTGCGCAAACAAAACTTTTTTTTTATTGCTTAGATGGTTGGATGAGCTCACAGCCCATCTAGTGTTAAGTGGTTACTGGAGCCCATAGACATCTACAACGTAAATGTGCCACCCACCCAGAAATAGGCAGGACAGTACCTCCCCGTGCGGACTCATAAGACGTTCTACCATCAGAGAATTTTAAAAGAGATTTGTTAATAAACTCATATCCGATTTAAAAAAAAAAACTGTACTCGAAAGAATTTATGCAAACTAAACATGTAATGTGCTCTAATGTTTCTTTAGTAAATATATTTATTAGTTCAACTAATGGCGGTATTTAAGGATTTTTCGTTTAATAAATAGTCTAATTAGGGAACATCGTTATCTAAAAGAGCACAATTAACTGATGGGAGTATATGAGTCCAATAGTTTGATGCGGTGCTTCCAGTATGTCTGTGTCCCTTGGACGAGATTGAACTTTTAACGTTTTCAATCATAGCTTATTGATTTAATTTGGTTGTCGGTGTTTGAGAGCCATGAGTGATATTTCAGTGAATTATCAAGAGTCTGTAATCATGACTGAGGTAGGTTGTTTAATTTGGTAATTTGTAAATGGCGTGAGTTTTCATTCTAATACTGGACTAGTTTGGGCTATCGATAATTATATTGGTTTTAATGTAACAAATACTAGGTCATATGTAAGGACCTAATATACGGTTTGATGTTCACTCTTAACAGAAACTGTTAAAGAATGCTTACACTTAAGCTATTGAAAAAAAACGCTGTAGCCTCTACGTTCTGTTGGTCTTGGGTCTAAAAAGTCATTTCATATCATTTTACTATATATTATTATGTTAATACATGTAGTGATAAGGAAGTATAAATAGTTTAAAGTAACATTTAGACAGTAATTACCTGTAAGCAGGGCTGCGTTAAGGAATTGTTTTACCACAACTTGAATAGGAAACAGTGTCAATTTGCTAAGCAAAAAGAATATTTCTTGAATCCGCAATCAGAAGGTATCTCGGGTACCGCGCGTCTTACGAGGGCGTTGACCCCGCGTGTCATCTGACTTAATTGTGATACATTGCGTGCACTACCGCGTGTTCGTTTTCCGGAACGCTTTCCTAGCATCACTCCTGAAATCAATTAACAATTATTAGTTAATTATATTCTAACACAAGTAACTGTAGAAAAGTTTTTCAGTAGTTTGGTTTGTGCTGATTGCGTTGTTGATAATTGATTAATGTTTTTATTTTATTTTACAGGTCGAAGTACAAGCATATCCGCTAATGGTGGACTGCAGGCCGGGAGCGGGCGCTCCGCCTCACGAGCTCCCGCACCCTGCTCCGAACGGTGCTCCTCCTGACAATCACCACAACCAGGTCTGTCGCGGACTGATTGTAATTATTTATTTATTTTATTACTAGCTTAGTCCCGCGATGTAACCAGAGATTAGCCGGAACAAATAGACAACAAACAAACACCAAATTTTAAAAATATGTTATTTTTGGTATTTGTACTGTGTATAAATACTTATGCATTTAGTAAAGGTGATTATTTTATTATTACAAACAGACACTCCAATTTTATTTATTTGTATAGATTCGTAATTATTTATTAAAAAGTAATTTTATCCAGATAGATTTTTGTTTTAAAAATGAACCATAGCTATAACAGGTCTAAATAATTTTCCTGAAAAACGCATTTTTACATTTGTTGTCCATTAATCCTAACTTAAAATTGATATTTTATTATTATAGCAACAACAGCCACCGCAGCAACCACAGCAACAGGCAGGGGGCAGCGGGGACATGGGAACTCACAACGTCAGCTCTCCGGCCATCAGGGTGTCCACACCTGCTACCAATACTACTGCTCTTGCTACTTATGCGGGTTAGTGATTTATTTGTTTTATGTTAATTTAAGGTTGGAACTACTTTGTAAAAATTAATAATATACAGATTTGTGGTTTTCATTTATATTTCACCAGCGACCCGCCCTCGCTTCGCTTCGGAAACATTAACTTTTATTATTGATAGGCGAAGCCCGCCATGTTGCGCGGGGTACGACAATAACTGCGGGTGAAGCCGCGGGGTGAAGCTAGTCTAAAAAAAGTAGCCTAATTATATCATCAGCTACCTATTAGTGAAAGTCTCATCAAAATCGGTCCAGCCGTTCCAGAGATTAGCCGGAGCAAACAGACAGACAGACAGACAGACAACAATTATAAAAAATGTTATTTTGGTGTATCGTATATACCGTATATACTGTGGTGTACCGTATATATATGTATTCATATGCATGAAGTAAAAAGCTGTTATTTCAATATTACAAACAGACACTACAATTTTATTTATATGTATAGATTATATTCATTTATATTTCAATTGTATTGTTTAATGTCCCCCTCACTTTTGAAGCTGGAACGGCTCGAGCGTCAGTTGACGTGCAGTAAAGGTGTCATAACAACAATATTGTTTGAAGGGGCGACATGAGCAGTGAGTGCTATAGGGTTGTGTGTGTGCAGGCGGCATGGGCACGGGCGGGTACGGCATGTGCGCGCCCTACATGTGCGGCGTGAAGCCCGTCATGTGGTCCCCAGCGCCCCCCGCCGCCGCCGCGCCCCTTGCGCCCCCCGGACCTCTCGCCCCCCTGGCGCCTCCGCCGCCGCCCCTCAATCCGCACGTCTACAAGAGCGTGCAGCCCAATGGATCTGATTTGCCTATGAACGGTTAGTCCTACATCTACAACACAACCACAAAACGAGACTAACATCTATTCCATTTCCCGCAGACGTAGTACAACAACAATTGTGTTGTTTTATAATAATTCATTTAATTACTTGCTCATACGCTTAAGAAACTTGTCAACTACTTACTATAAAAACAACTTGATGTAACCTATTAGGTTGGTAAACTTATGAGATGTTTATTAAAACAAATGTAGGTAGAAAATAGGGTTAAAATTATGAGAAACTAGCTGTAATCGCCCGCTTCGCTGGGGATTAAAAATTAACTTTATTATTTATTGTCATTATTATTAGGGAGTCCAACACTCATATAAATATTAGCCTATCCATTATGTACATGTATTTTCTACATAGATACAAGTTTCAAGTCAATCGTATGCATGGTTGAGTAGTTATAATGGAACATCCGTAAAAACCACTGCAGATTTATATATTAGTATAGATAAGAAATTAAGTTTTTCGGAACATGAGTACTTTGGAAAAAATAAAATATGTTTCATTCCACTAGATATCCCGACGTTGCGTTACTACTACAACCTGGGCGTGGAGTGCATGTGGGCCGCCTACGGGCCGCCGCCCCCGCCGCCGCCGCGACACTACTCGCCGCGAGACCTCGCCCACGTAAGTACACTGTGCGGCGCTCTTACTGACAAAACCCGCCGTGTTACATTACTGCCGAGGGTCACGTGCGCAAATATAATATTCTATATTTGAATACAGGATATGCAGCAAATGTCGATGCACGACCGGGGAATGAACCACAACGCTGACCAGAACCACAAGCACAAGGGCGGCCAGGGCAACGACAAGCCCCCCATGAACAACCAGGGCAAGGGAAACGGACAGAGACCACTGCTCGGCCCGAGGTGAGACATATAATAATAGTAATTAAAATTATCTTGATTTGGATTGTATTAGTGACTCGCAAAACCTCGGAGAATATTAATTATTTTAATAACTACATTCCAACAGGTATCATCTAAATTCATCTCTCACGTGCATGATAATGTAACCTATTTGAGGAAACTTCTTATAAATTGTGTTGAAGGTAAAAATATAAGCAGATTTACCATATGTACCTGCAGAATCCGATACACAACTACTTTAATAAACCAACTTCAGCTAAAGTAATAACGTGAATTTGACAAACTATAGCTTTTCTAATGATTCTCATATAATTCTACAAAACGTTTATACTACAAACCATCAAACTTATGAACGGGGCGCCCTTCGGTAGCAAGGTAGTAAGTCACTGTGATGTATCCTGTGATTGTCTGTACAATTCACACACATATGTTTGATTAAATTCTGGTAGGCCACCGACTCTTCTTGATTAGATTTTGGTGCTTCTAAGAATATTTAGGATTAATAACAGAGAGTACTTTATGAATACTAAATGTTATGTAAATATTATGTAATAACATGAAACTAACAAAACGCATACTGTGTGAAACATGCAATATAAATCTAATATTGCTGATTATTTAAAAAAAGACTTCGCAATGCAATAGTCAGTTGACCCCGGGACCCACATCGACCGCCCGGGCTGTGAATGGGTGTGTTCGTATATGAAAAGTGTTATTTAATACAACAGATTCAAGCGCGGCGGTAACAATCACGATGGTAATCAGAACTCGAACCATCAGAACAAGGGCCACAACAACAATATGGGCAAGGGACCCAACAATCGGTGAGTTCATTTGTATATATTGGTGAGACAATGAGGCACTACTAACCAGTGCTTCTACAAGAGTCAATCTGTAAAACATATAATTTACTAATTTTAATATTAATGATGTTCAGAAGTCTTAGTAAATTATCGTTGTTTACTGAGAAAATTATTGAACATGATAAATTAATTATAATAAATTGATGTTGGACCTCCGACTACCATGTTGAAAAATATAGAAATAGGATAAATTTTGGATTGTTATTTGTAAAGTAAGCTGAAATCAAACTATAACAACGAAGAATAAAAGTTAATCCATCTAGCCTTAAATGATACCGTCTTATGTCACTATTTTTTAAAGATAAAAGAAAATCTTTCGCTAATTTTGTATGTCATTGTTTACCTTTTTCAAACAAACTATGTATTTTTTTAACATTATACTGTATCTCTAGATATATTTAACCACATAGAAAAAATAATCATACACCTATATTAGGCTACGCTATGAATAATTTGACAATGTTATTCGAGGTTTTGTGGAGTCGTAGTAGTACATAGTAGTTGGAGTATCGTTCATTGCTCATTATACAATTGAATCTCATCATTCAAGTAATAAGTAAGGTAAAGGGGATTGCCCACTCTCCATAGTGTGCTAGGCCCAAGATGGACATCAAATATTACTATAAAAATGTACTGATTCAAATTCTTAAATGTATTGGATATCTAAAAAATATATTGAAATTGACGCCACTAGTATAAAAAATATAATAAAAATAAAAACTCGTTTTGAGGTTAATTTTCTACATAAATAAGTGTCGGATTGTGAGATACTTCAAGAACTTTTCTTTTCTTAATGTTTAAGATGTTCCTAATGTATTTTTATCCAATAGGGTATAAAAAACACACTTAATTCTTTAAATATCTATATTTTCTTCATCTTCATACACAATTAGTATCATCTAAAAATAGCAAAGGAGAGCATATACACGGTTTTAAATCTCGGTCAGGGTAAAACCACAATTCACACAATGTTTTTTAGTCGTAGTATGAAACGTTATTGATAAAAGTAAAATAAATCGAAGAAAAATCAAAACACATCCATTTTGTACGCAAGCACAACACCACAAGCAGCAAGCGAAGTGTCAGTCAGTCAGATTAAATTCAGTGTTGTCAGTATAAAGAAAAATAATTACATGAAATTCATATATCGATTATTTTTTTAAATAACCGATAATTGATTTATATCTTAATCTTTTTTTTACGAGTACACATTATTTTTTATGTTTTTGTTTTAGTTGTACATATTTAAATAACAATACTAGTAAAGTTTTTTTTATTGCTTAGATGGGTGGGCGAGCTCACAGCCACCCTGGTGTTGCTAAGTGGTTACTCGAGCCCACATACATCTACAACGTAAATGCGCCACCCACCTTGAGATATAAGTTCTAAGGTCTCAAGTATAGTTACAAGTTAAAGTCCAATGGGTATGTCTTCGATGTTATTTTATGTGCATAAAATCCATTAAAATCGTTTGATTAATGATAATACTTAAAATGATTTATTTATATGTTTTATTTATATACTCAAAATATTTACTTCATACGTAAAAGGATTTGAAGCTGGCAATATTTTTCCCGCAAAAATAAAAATCCTTGTTTTTTCAATAGAGTTACTTTTTTTAAACTACTTATTGTAAACTATAGTGGCGCTTATTTGCAAGAAAGTAAATGCATATTTATTTATGACAAAATTAATGCACTAAGTATTTTTTCTATAATCTATTGTCCGCTTTGGGCCTAAAATGGGCCATCCCCTTTAATAAGTTCTTGAGACTGATTGTGAGAGTATACAAACCTGTTCTTTGATAAAAACAATACTATCATAATAAAAATTTGACCAATAATCTCGTATTACAACTGAAAGACCTTCCAAGTAGATTGAAGTGTTTGTAACTCTAAGGTCATGCCAAGTACATCAGGGTGTCCAAAATTCTAAGGTCATGCCAAGTACATTAGGGTGTCCATAATTGCAAGGTCATCCCAAGTACACTGGGGTGTCTATAATGCTATCCAATATTTCTGTAAATTAATTTTTTAGATACATATTGTTCCCGACGCAAATTTTACTTATTTATTTCTAAAGCAATTGTTTCCGTTTGTTTCAGGCGCAATTCTCAAGCCGAAGTCCGCGGTCCGACCTACAGCGAGGAGTGCGGCTCGCCCCTCCCCTACTCCGCGCTGCCCCTCCCGTACCCCGCCCCGGCTCTCTACCCGCTGCACTACTACCCCGTCGAACATGATCCCGGTAAATCAAAGTTAATTTTAAAACATACTGAACAAGAAGACGAGTCCACTGAGCTTCTCGCCGGATCTTCTCAGTGAATCGCGATTAAGATCCGGTAGTGTGAAACCATACCACCAATTATAATTTTATATTTAATTAAAAAGCTATTATAACGATATAATTATAGTACAGACGTTAATAGCGGAGCACTCAGCATATGTCTGCTCTGAACTCAACCAAACAAAAGCACTCGCAAGTACCGTCGATTATGCTCGCCGCACCCTCGAAAGAAATGCACGGCTGTAAGAAATCGTTTTCGGAAGCGAAGTGCCCTTACTCATGTTGCGTTCGTTGCGTATTGTACTAGACAGGTTTAATAACAAGTTTATTTTAAAATTCCAGCCATGATGGGAATGATGGGAGTCGGCTACATGGGCTACGAGGAGACGGTGGAGTACTCCGGGATGCCGTACTACCAGCCGCCCTACCCGCACCCGCCGCCGCCCCCCCACATGGAGCACAAGTAGGCCCCCCCTACTAGCTGCTCCACATCAACAGCCACTGTCTGGTGAAGAATAAAGTGCTGTTAGTTTTTTTTAAAGAAGTTACAACACTGTCCAGTGTGCTTAGTGCAAGTTTTTTAACGTTCTCGATAGCGTTAAAGTTAACTCATATTTGTATGGAGCTAGAAAGTATGCCTACGTTTGCCACTAGGGGCGCTGTTTCAATTTCATACAAATTTGACTTAACTTTTACGCTATCGAGAACGTTAAAAAACTCGCACTAAGCACACTGGTAATAACACTATTGTTATTTACGAACAAACACCCGTTTAAAATCACTCAGTAGTTGAATATTTCATAAATATAAACATTATAATTATAGGAACGTCGCCATCCTTATAAAACATTGAACGGTTGACATCATATGAAATTACTAGTTTGGAAGTACTTTTAGTCAGTTGCCTCAGCGAGTCGCGGGCCCTGCGTGCCTGGTGATGTCCAGGGCCACACACTCACTGATACTGTATTTAAACATTCTCATTTTTAAATTAAAATCGAGTTCAATCTCTGTAAAATCTTTATTTGTCCGTGTCGAGAATAACATTTAGAATACGCAACATAAAAAATGAGTAATATTCATTTAATTTGAAATTCAAAGTATCGCCGCACATTGCGTAGCTGGGATGTCACACCTAGGTCGTGGTCCCGGGACAGCACTGTCGCACGACACTGGTGAGCTGTTGCCCCGGGGCCCGCGCCTGTCTTTATCAGTGTCATTAACATAGACCGTACAGCAAAACTGTACTCTGTCTAACGCAGACTGTGAGATAATTACCAAGAATAATATATTAGTTTTGAGAAAACGCATCACGGGGTCCCGACCTGATGGTCAACCGATGAGTCAAACCATTCAGTTTTGCTGATTTGTTTTCTAGTTTTTGAACGCGAATGTGTTTTGTGTCGGCGCGGGTAACGCTTGCTTTTATTTTTGGTAAATTGTCAACATTGCGGAGTCACTTGTGTCATAACTTGAAGTTTTGAATTTAAAAGAAAAAAAAAAGAAAAATGTTATCAAAAACAAAACAAAAAAAACGTACTATGCAAAAAAGAATTTAATAATTTCCTAAGGTTTAAATTTAATTTTTAAGATTCCATAAATACGTAATAGTATTATAAAAAAAAACAACAAAAAAAGATTAAACTGTTTACAGTTATTATAATATAAGGGATTTAAAATGAAAAATCCGAAGTAGGTCGTCATCGTCCCAGGAGACCGCCGGCTTCACCTAATGCGGCTAATAAAATTTGTACGTCAAAGTGAATGAAATGTCAGTGAAGGTTTGTCATCTTGGAAATAAGGGTCGATTTAAGACTATCTGGCTCTGAACGTAGCGATCTTCGCGTTACAAAACCGGCGGTCCCTATTTTAAACTGTAGGGTGCGTCCAGTGGCGTGGCGGTCTTAACTCACTCCGGAGCGCAATACCTTTTTAGAGTAATATTTTCCAGAAAGCAAAATTAAAATTATCCAACATTTTTTGTTTTGTGTACCATTTGGCACCCCTTTGTGAGTAGCGCCCCCCCTTTGTCCCCCCTTGACCCCCCTCGCTACGCCGCTGAATGCGTCCAACTTCGGAAATTGGGTTTTCGAGACGATTGGAGTCGATATCGAGACTAGCGGTGCACGCGGACGAGCCGCGCGTAAAAATGAAGTCATGTTTTTAAATTTAAAATAAGTCAATTAATTATTACCTTTAGTGATTAGGTTTTTGTAATTATTATTTTTTTAATATTCGCGCGGGCGTTGAGTTCGTCAATTTTGACAATTAGGATATTTCTAAATTGTTATTAAATTACGAAAGGTTTAGAGTGTTTGACAATATTTCGATTACAGAACCTAGTCCAGTAAGGTTCGGTCGGGCCACTAGGGACAGACTGATCGAAAAACAAATTAACATTTGAATTTATGAACATGAGTATCCTTGAACAAGTCCGCGCCGGGACCGCGCCGTGCAGCATTTGATGCGTTTTTGAAAATCATTTTTCGCGCGGCTCTATCTCTCTCTCTTTCTCTCTCTCTCATATAATTATATAGTAATTTGATGTCTAAATGTAACGGTTTGTTGTAGTCGTGTTTGTAAATTTTTATACGTAATAAGTATGTACTTAGGTTTAATTGATGTGAAATATAATATCGGCCACGGAATTCGACTGACCCTTCAATTCTTCGCAGTTCAAAAGACAGAATCTCTTTTATTAACCCGTTTACGGTTTTCGGTCTGAGATTGCGACATCCGATGTAATTAACGTAAACGGTCGTCAATTAAATCGATTAATTAATGTAGTGCCAAATATTTACTACTGTAAAGCTGCTTTCAGACTACGCTATACTATAGTGCCATATAGTATAGCAGCGTATACTTAGCCAATAATATATAGTACAGTACAGTGTGAACGTGTCCATAAATAACTATATGGTGCGTGATATCGTTGTGCTATGAGCTATATACTATATGCTATTATATTATAGCGTAGTCTGAAAGCGGCTTTATGGACTTGCATCCTCTCTCAGCGCATAAATTATTTTTAAAGCCATAAAGTGGGTTGGACGTTATCGTGCCGTAACGTCACTCATACATTATTACGTCGTCAAAGCGTGATTAGCATAAACATATCTCGTGGCGTTGTCTGATGTTTGATGATCGGATGATCACGATACCTTTGAAAGGTTTTAGATTCTCTCTGAACACGACACGAGCGACCCCCGCCGGTCCCCCGGGCACCAGGCTGCCCCCACTCCTACCCCCGCTCGTATGTCAACACAGAAATGTGATTCAATAAACACCAAGGGTGTACTGGACGGTCGGATCTACGAATTTAAATTAATTATTATTCTTCGACTGTCAAAATGTCATGTTGTTGTCAAAATTACGAGATAAATCCCCGTTTCTTTTTGGTTGTTGTTTTTAATTTGTTTACTCTTATGGTTTTCGTGGCCGAAAAGTATGAAGCACGCGTGATTTGACGTTTGCCGGTAACGAGGAGTGGAATTCTACTAAAAGTGACTGTAAAGTTGATTTGACCTATTTATGTGTCGTTAAGTGTAGGTACACGTTTTAGTCAAAAGTTCGTTGACTGAACAGTTTGAACATGATTCTTTTGCTTCTGATTGTTTATGAACAGTAAATTGACATTAATAATAACATATTTGAAACGCATTTTCGTTATTCCTCAAAGCAGAATTGCTCTAAAGCTCTAAATTTTTTTAGTATTTGTTTGGACGTCTATCTATACACGTTCAAGTTAAAAACAAGTAATTTTACGCATACCTTAACTGTCACTTTCAGTATTATGTTTAAGGAGTTTGACTGATGAATTTGCTTAGCACAATATGAAGGATTCCAATAAAGTTATATTTCGAAATTTTCACACACACACGGTCCCCCGCGCACTGCGCACCTTCTGTGATCATTAAACGACTGATATTAGATCTAAAATTTTATATACTTTGTGCCCGAGGGTCGCCTGTACAAGCTTGGTAAATTGTTGCCCTTCGAATGACATGTTTTTTTTGTTATTGACCTCACCAGACTCTTCAACAGCATTTTCAAACATTTATTAAAATTACGATTATATTAACGTGACGATTTGAAATTCTTGAATGTAAATTCTCAAAATTATCCTCGGCCATCGGTATTGTCAGTGTCCGTAACATGGGTAGCCGATGACGATAAGTTGACGTGAGCAGCGCGACCCTCGGGCGCGGGGCGTCAGATGTGGTATGTTTTCGAAAACGGTTTTTGTCCGTCGTCCCCCGGTGTTCATTGGTGCTGCAAAATTGTCGGGTTGACAGGGTCCATGATGATATTTTTGTAACGAAGCGTCGGCTTTTATACACGAGCGAACTATTTGTACTTTGTTTCTCTTAGCATTCCTTTTAATTCTAGGTACTAATGTAAATTTTTAAGATGATCAAGCAAATATTATTATGTAGGCGTTATTTTGTAGTGTCGACGTAACACGACTGTTGCGGGAGTCGACTTTTAGCTTTTACACCGAAGCTACATGGAGGTGACTTAATTCTCTCAATGTGGCAATAGGCTTCTTTGGCGATGCCACAGACGCCGGCGTCGAGTTAGATGTAGGTTTACGCTGCTAAGTAGTACGCAAAAGATCTCAAGCCTGGCTGTCACAATAATTGAATCTCTCGTTAAAAAATCTGCCATAGATGCATTTATAATACGAATCATTATAAGCTCTATCATTATTTTAATTTTGATCTCAAAAACTTGGCTTGTTGGTGCTTCTTGATTTCGTTTTGAGATCATAACGCGCAACGTTTATACTCATGTATCTTAGTCTGGTAGTGCAGAAAGTTTGAAAAGTCATTTTTTTTTTCGTGTGGCAACTTTCTTGTGTTGCAAGAATGATATTTTCGTTTCCGGTTGTGATTTTATTGGAATTTAATATCTAATTCATTAAATTTCGTAAGTCGATAATTAATCTTGAGGTCCACTTTTCACATAAATACTGTAGTTATCACGTATATACATAAATATTATTGTAAAGTATTGAGCACTCTTGTATTCATTGTATTTGACTGTTTGTACAGGATGTTTAAAATATCAAAAAAAAAAAATACAAAAAAAATATTGTACACTATTATTAATAAGTATGTGTGATGTCTTCGTCTGTAGAAAAAAAGTGTATTTTTTTCAGTATTAGTTTTTAAAAAATCACCTAGTAGTTCATAGATTAATTTTATTTGTTAATTATTTTTTTACGTACCATAGTCTAAAATGAATACTGTCAGCTGCAAAAATGATTGTCATTTTGTTTGTCACGGTAACAGTGTTGCCATGTCAGTTTGTAGTACAACAGTAGTTTGTTATACATGTTAAGAAACCGCCTTTGGTTGTGTCAATTTTTTTTTTCAAAATTTTGTCAAATAAAGTTTAACTGATTTTTTTCAATTTCTGTTTTATTCAAGGATCGCATTTTCACCCACTCTCAAACTCTGCACTTTCAGTATTTCTCAATGCCCCATTAAACAAATTACACAAATACAGCTGATCATAAGACTCAAAGAGTGACCTGGAGATGTCACAATGTCCTTGTGCAATCGTATCGAAATTAGGACACCTTCCTCGATGAACAGTCGTCGCTTTTTTGAGTAGCGACATGGCAGAATCATAATTTTTCAATTTCAAGTTTTTGCCACCTGGCTACAGACCCTAAAAGCAGTCTAACCTTAACCCTCAATTGATACCACTTTTTCATCATTCAATGTAAGTAATTTAGAGCATATTTTATTAAAACCTAGTGATCAGTTCATTCACATCATTTTAATTTTATTTGTTTAATAGATATTTTGTATGGACAATTGACACCAAATTCACTTTTCACTGAACTTCATACTTGATGAAAACATGTAAATGTATTATTGTATAGCAGCTGTCCACGCGGATGCATCGCTCACTGAAGTAGGAGAGAGACGATGTCGAACGCTGCCGAACGCAGAGGCCGATTGTGCCTCTTTGTCGCTCGTTGCGCGCTCTCGCTTGCACTTCAAGCCTTAAATGGAACGACTCCGAGCGAGGTAACGCCGCATGAGTCATGTTTCTTCGTACGTGCAGCCGGCTCCGTCAAATTATGAGACGTCACGTCAAAAGTTAAATTAGTTTTTTTTCATAACATATTTGCTTAATCAAAATATCCACCATTATTATCTATAAGAAGGTCATTTATGCCTTTGCGATAGAATTCTGATAATCTAGATTCTACAAACTGTGTGAAAGTATTTTGTACTGCCTCTTGGGAAGAAAACTTTATATTACGTAGAAAATTGTCCAAATCACGAAACCAATGGTGGTCCGTTGGAGCAAGGTCTGACGAATACGGAGGGCGACGAATGGTTTCTAATTGCAGTTCCTGTAGAGTTAAAACGGATTCTATTTCTATATGAGGTCAACAAGGTAACGCTTCTTTCTGCAGATCAGTCAAATCATGAGATACCCAGTTTTCATATTTTTTTATTTTATTGATTTGACAAAAAAAATATTGCTTAGATGGGTGGACGAGCTCACAGCCCACCTGGTGTTAAGTGGTTACTGGAGCCCATAGACATCTACAACGTAAATGCGCCACCCACCTTGAGATATAAGTTCTAAGGTCTCAAATATAGCTATAACGGCTGCCCCACCTTCAAACCAAAACGCATTAATACTTCTTCACGGCAGAAATAGGCAGGGTGATGGTACCTACCCGCGCGGACTCACAAGAGGTCCTTCCACCAGTAAAAAAATGAGTCATTAATGTTGGTAAGGTACCTAACGTTTAACCATGCCGCTAATTCCTGCAGCGTTAGTTCTGCGTCGGAACTCGTATTCAAGAATCACTCGAATTTTCGAAGTATCTGTCTTTCTTGTCTAAGCTGAATAAAAGAGAAAACAACTGAAAGTCGATAATCGAATGTTGCACATTTTATAAAAGAAGAACCTCATGGGTACCATTTGAAAAAAGTTTCACTCAAAAATCTCAAACCATGAAGGTTCTAATGTCAATTCGAAGTACATACAAAATAGCTTATAACCTTTGATAAAACGGCAATTTTATACTTTAACTCCTATCATAAATATTAAGTGCATTATCTATGCTTAATATTTAAGACTAGCTAGCGGCCCGCACCGGCTCCGCTCGGGCTCAGTGAATTTAGGATTTTATTATTTTTTATTATTTGTTCGTCGTTTGTTCGTTAATGTTCGAATGTAAAAATTGTTTGTTTGTCTTTTATTTATTTATAATTAGTTAAACAAATGATCACCCTTAAGTTGGCTTCTCTTACTAGATATCTTTATTTTTATCGCTCAGATTAATTAATTTTGATCAATTATCGTTTGTTCGACGACTATTGGTGATTGCTCGATCATAAAAACAATTAAATTCCCAGTTATTAATTATTTTATATCTATTAAGCAAACCATCCCCTACATTGCGCATGCACCGGTTTTGTCGGTCAGCTGGCAATGGCCGTATTTACTAGCGTTTTGTTAACAAGTGCGGTTATACTGTCTAATTATTAAATTAATTAATAAAGAATCTATATTACTTGAATAACAATGTGAAAATAATAAAGGTAAGTCATACAATTATAAATTCAAATATTTTGTAGTTTATATTTAAAAAAAATAGTAATTCAAATTATCAATTAAAATAATAAAATATATCTCTTTATTTTTGGTTGACAACATAAAATTACATAGAAATAGAAATGATTACTAAATAGAGAGAGAAGGGATTAGAGAACGAAAAGAAAGAAGGAGAAAGAGAAAGGTATTATCACTGAAGTAGGAAACCTATGGAAATGAAACGTCAACAAAAAATTCGTGCCACTGTGACGTCATCTGGCCACAAAACATGGCGGTTTTAGTGCTGCCCAGAAGATTTTAATGTTAGTAGGCTTTATCGATAAACGTTCTTGGCTCATTTTATTTTAAATATTGTTGAGTGAATGTATTTGTAGAATTTATACTTTAATAGGAAGTAAGTATATTGTTATGTGCAAAGATGATGTGATTTAGATATTATGTGAAATCTAAGACGAGTTCCTGCTTCAAATTAGCCAAGTAAACGATATGACGATTTTTAAAATTTGCTACACTGATTTTATAAAGTTGTCGTTTGCCGCAAAACATAAAGATATGGCGTAGTACAGTGCCATCTGCCCATTTCTAGCATGCTGAATGTTATCGTATTTTGAGTACGTGTTTTTCTTAGACTATTACAATCTATTTTAATTGTTTTGCTGACTCTAAAGTCCGTAACACACTACCGCAGCGCACCTCAAGGAAGGTACGCCGCACCATTTGAATCACTCTCACTTGAGAGTGATTCAAATTTTAAACTTATCAAGGGACTGCCTGATAAAAAAAAACACCTACAGAACATTTATTCGTTATTAAAATTACAAACGTCATTCCTTGTGACTTCCTCTCTAAAATCACTTAATTATTAAATATTTAACGAGTTGACAATAGTGTTATAAAACTATTTTATTTAAATAGTTCCG